TTCTGCATCATTCTGTAACAGTCATGGATCTCTCCCGTAGCGTGATCGGCACGCGGCAGACAGGTTGACATCATCAATTGAGGGTCTTGAGGACTTACTGGCCCTGTTATCCCTTAAGCCACTACCACACGACACCCTTGAGTTACTAAATGAGGGTGTTAGCATAGAATTAATAATAGTACAAGAAGTATTAGTTTCAATTTGTTTATATATGTTTATACGAGGTGTTAAATTAAATATACCGTGTAGTGGCAGTGTCAGAATATCCACTAACCCATATCGTCCGTGGGTGTCGTAAGAGGCGACTGAAGGAAACTAAAACAGAAGAAGAGCAGCAACATCTTCCTGATAACAACTCAACATAATAAAATAACTGCGGTTGCCAACCCGCCTGCCAGCGTGGCAACTGTGGCAAAGTCCACCCTATGCGCCAATCAATAGGGGAGGTCTATGTTCAGCAGTGGCGGATAGGCTGTAATGGAATGGAATGGAAGTTTTATGTTATTAACGCCAATAAATAGTAACTTGTTTTCTTTATTTTATCGAACAAATTACTACACGCGAGGTCCGAACCGGAACAGCATTAACAATTGAGTCACAAAGAACTATTTACAGGAAACGAGTCGTATTGAAAGAGTAATGATTTTTTTAATTAAAGTTCGTGATAAGGAAACTACGATGTACAGTCTAATAACAATACTGGGGCAGTGTTTTATCGAATATTCGACTCCATTAAGCGGCGGAAGTGTGCCGCGGCGGGGAACTCTGGCACGCGATGTGTAGGGTTGTCAATCTGGGATCGAATATAATTTTATATGTAATAGAGCCATGCTGCAGCTATATTATTGTTGTAGCACGAATGGATCGGCTCAACTGTGAAAGGACCACGCTCTCACAGAATACCAACGTAAAATAGCAGTTTAATGCTGTTGTGTTTCGTTTGGTGAGTGTAGAGAACCTTAGATCCTTTTTACTGGCAAAGAGGCATTCCATCTTAGTCCTCACGGGTGACAACGCATCTGCATCTTGAGTCTTTATTGATGATAGATGTAGATGTATATGGGTCACAGTAACCACTTACCATCAGGTGGACTGTGTGCTCGTTTGTCACCTATCATGATATATGTATTTTTGATGAATCGAGGTAGAATGTCATGATAAAGAACTGAACTTCAAAGAATATATTTTATATAGCGAATTGCACTAAACAATCTAATTTAATATAATATGTATTACTTGAGAGATACATTGTGTTTTCATGCGATGGCCAATTCAATCTATTTATTTAAAACAAAAGATTTTTAATATTGATATGGTCACTATAAGATGAAGGACCCTTAAGTAGGGACTGAATAAATTAACCGACTTGGTATTACATGGATCTCACAACTTTTTACGGTAGAAGAACTGATTTGCGAGACTTGGCTTTTTTTACAAGTTATGTTTTTGATGGCTTATATTTTACGTCAAAATTTACCAATACATGCTTAAAAGTAAAAGATTTAGATACCCACTAAGCTTAGTATTCGCGAAGACTTACAGTCAACGGCCAGATGCAAGCCAAGTGGGCATCGGGCGTTCGGGGCGCGTCCTGACCTACGTAAGTGTTGACCACTTGACCTAGGCACTCGTTTAAGTAGTAACGCTGTGTGCGGGCTTTAGTGTTGCTAACTTATGTCTATATGATGTGCGAGGATCGATCGTTACTATCATTTGAATTTAGAACAATATACTATATACAGGGTTATTTTTCGAAGAAAAGCCGAATTTTAAACTTTAGTTAAAATATGTATATAAATAATGATATATCGTTGTTACAGTTTTTGATGATATGAGCAAATAAAGCTTCTACTTTTATTTGAAATTATACCAAATTAAATGTGATTTATGGGTAACAAGGTTTTTGCCTACCGATCAACCCTTACGAATGTGTGCGTGCGCAGTAAAACCGGTTAAAACAAAGTATTACCACGCATTTTGAATTTAAAAGATAAAAAGGACAGAATGTTTAAGATTTTTCTGCCGACTTCCAAAAAGGAGACGGTACTCAATTCGACTGTATGTTTTTTTTATGTGTGTTACCTCATAACTTTTTACTGGGTGAACCGATTTGGATGATTCTTTTTTTATTTGAAAGCTGGTACTTCTCGTACTTCTAATTTGATCAAGGTCAGTCCAATAGTTATTGAGTTATTCTTACTAACTTATATTGAAGTCGTCTGTACAACATTTTTAATTTTAAATTATTAAATTAATTTTTCATTACCATTTTCCCATATTACTTATTCTGAACCTTCTATGCAAATTTGGCCAGTTATTGTACAATAACCCTGCATATCTATACAACTTTTAAAATCAGTTACAATTATTGAAGTTTTTTTTTATAACCGTTACCCCCACACTAGGATTTTCTCCTGTGTCGTGGAGGCAGTTTACAAACATAAATCGCACGAGGACAAACATCCAGACCCGGAACAATTATTTGTAGGCCATACAAATACTTGTTCCGTGCGGGATTCGAACCCGCGGCCCCCAGCGCAACAACTCATTGCTAAGCCACTGCGCCACGGAGCCGTCAACTATGTTTTATTGATTGTACGTTTTAATAATAATAATATATTTTATTATAATATAATATATATTTTATATAATATTAATATATATTTTATTTGCATAAAACATGGTATATAATAGATTTTCGTAGATTTTCGTTTTCTATCTAAATACGTCTTTAATCGTATAGTCATAAAGGTGCCGTAAATAAAAAGTCTCATGATTGAAATGACTTAATTATAGGTGTGTTAACAGCGAGTATGGTTGTAAGTCAAGTAAAGGTGATACTAAAAATCGTAAAAGAATATATAAATATAATGCCTGTTGAACTGTGTGTAGCATGCTAGCAAGCAATGATACACATTTTTGTCGATTTGTAGGATCTTACAGCTGCGCCGCTACAGATCACTTTTTACAGCTGAAAGCTGTTTGTCAAGTTGATTGGTGTGTATTTTATGGTGGTCGTGGTCGTCGTATTGTATGGTGGTGGAAATTCGACTGTAAATCATTATTTTTTTAGGTTTGTTTTTAATATGTAAAACAAACTGCACACTTTAAGCACACACAATAAATGTTATCAAAAGAAAATTCGTTCACAAATTATTTTATTTTCTATTAATAAATTTATGCAATATTTCAGTGTCTGATTAATATTAAATACGTGAACATCGCATTTACAAGATTTTAATTATATATAAGCATATGTGTGTAATCACGTTAGTAAGTATAATCTACCTGAGGTCAGGATATTGAGTCGTTTGTATATCAATAAAAAGCTTGATATTATAACGTATATAATCTGTTATTTTTATTAGCTAGTTGATCGATTAGCGATTGAAGTGGCAATGGGTCGGCAATAATAGCTCGAGAACCGTCAAGCGGCCCCGTTCTCAGTAGCAGCTCAGTCAGGAAATTGGCGGTGTCTCACCCCCGTGCCTCGGAAAGCACGTAAAGCCGTTGGTCCTGCACCTGATCTCTCTCCGCTCGTGTCGGTTTACCGTCCCATCGGAGTATGAGAATGAGGGAATTGATCGTGCACCTCTCGCTAATGTGCTTGTGTATACACTCGGGCACTGTAATCCAGTCCTGTGCAGATCTTCAGTCTTCTTTAAGACTGGCCGCCGTGGCCGATATTCGGTCTGGAGGACATTATTATTATTGTATTTTGGCTTGGAAACAACTGTAGATGCAACTTAAGATATAAGAATATCAGAATCAAACCCTGATTAAATGTTTCACCCAATCTAAAGCTAAATATTTATTACGTTCAGGTTTAACGCTTGTAATAATTCGCTCGATTATGGGAACAGCTATATTTGTGAAGCGATCGCTCAGCTATTGAGTTGTAATCTGTATACCTGTTACGTTTTAGAATTGTTTATTCATTTATGAGTAATGAATTCACTTTTACAAAAAAATCCTAGAAAATGTTCAAAGTTTGTCAATAAACAAGTTTAAAAGTTTTATTAAAGAAAACTGTACAAAAAGGGTTATTATAATATCAAGGAATACGTGTTATACAACTTTACATTAATACAAATTAATGTAAAGTTGTATAACATGTTTAAAAATATATAATCCCGCTGGGTTCCTTGGTGGTTCTTCCCGGGACAGAGGTATTTTCCGAACCAGGTGTAAATAAAAAAATACTTTCAATAATTATTATGTAATAATAAAATATTGTATATTGAATAAAAATTATTCTATTCTATTCTATAACGACCGACTTTGTGTTACATGTAGGTAATAGCGTGAGCTATATACGACACCGTGCGATAATTGACCAATTGGTCAGGAAGTTGGACAGATTTATTGGCTCTCAGAATAAATTACGTTTATGTAAATGTTTTGCTCAATACATTAGGCACTTGGACTCTCATTAAAAAAATTAATTTATTCTTACTAAAAATAACGCTTAATTGAAATAACATGTTGTACAAAAACTAAGTACAAATATTCGCTAAATATTGGTATGTTGGTGTTGAACAACAATATTTTAGTTCCTTTACCTCGGTATTTAATATTTAACTAATAATGTAATTATTGCCTACTCAATTACCTACAAATTATAATAAATAATTAACTCAAACGAGGCATTTCATCGTAATCCTCAGGGGTGACAATGCATATGTATTTTGATTCATTGAGGATAAATGTAGATGTCTATGGGCTGTGGCCATTATGGTCATTTTGATGGTAAGTGGATCAGGTGGACCGTTTGGTAGTATATCACCCTTATTCTATAAAAAAAACGGATTGTTTCGGATAATCTCATGCAGAGAAACTTCAAGCTTATTCCGAGTGTGCAGTGTGTGGTAATTATAGTCTGAGTGGTTTACAGTTAGAACCTTCGTAATACTGCCGGTAGTAAAGGTGTAGTTAGTTCTATTGATAATATATTATTATATGTAAGTGGCAAGCATTAACTGTCGCTTCTTTGTTGACAGGGAGGAGGTCCGCAACCACGCGGTGCGGTGGAACGCGCAGTTCTCGTTCGTGTGCAAGATGTGCGCGAACGCAAACACCGGCGTCCTGGAGCCGGCGCTGCTGCGTGTCTCCGTGCGCAAGGAGTGCAAGGGTGAGTCACCGTACACATTTCATCTCTCTACTGCACGCAACCCATCAACCATTGTTTGAAATCAATCTGGTCAGCCTCGGGACAGGTACAGAGTAGCCAGCTTCTCGATATTCTATAGGATCCATTTCGGGGAGTGCGCGTAGTACTTCCTCCCTCTCCTTTCCACCATACAACAAGGTGGTCGGCAGGTCTTCACCCCTTTATTATCCATATTTCACGCATTAGAACCAAACGGTTTGCTTCGTCTTTCGTAATGCGTACCTACAGCAAAGGAGTGGCATAATATGCCGGCTTCTGTCTCTATTTTTCCAAATACAATCTGGGCGTCTTCAAGTCTTTTGTTACGCTAAGACAGTACGATTTATCATCTTGGACTTCATCACCATTTCTCATCAGGTGGAATTATGGTCAAGCACTGCCTTAAAAACACCTGTGGTCTTAAGCATGACTGCTGGTCATTTGGTCCTGGGTTCCAATTCTCGGTCGGGCCAAAGTCGTTGCCGTAGCGTGCGTAGAATAAGGATGACAAACAAGCGCACAGTCCACCTGATGGTAAGTGGTTGCTGTGGCCCATATAAATCTACATTTATCTTCGATTAAGAACCAAAATGCAGATACGAGGGTGACACTGAAAGTTCTTAGAAAATAAAAAACCGAACAAACTAGCAAGTTATTAGTTTTATTATATCTTTTTAAAATAGTATAATAATCCATTTACATCAATACATCGCTGCATCCGATGGAACCACTGAGAAAGGCACATTGCCAAATCGTCCTTAGGGGTCTCTGCGATGGCATTTTGAAACGCTGCCACTGCTTCCTCAGTGTCCATAAAACGATTTCCTCGAAGATTTTCTTTTATTTTCGGAAATAAATAAAAATCGCAAGGTGCGAAGTGGGGACTATAGGGCGGGTGACCCAGTAATTCCAGGTCTGACGTCGCCAATAGCCAAGTAGTCGATTGTTTGCTTGGCGGTGTGCGACGTGGCGTTGTCGTGGTGAAGGAGGATCCTACTGCGAGGTCGTTTCTCTCGAAATTTTTCCAAGAGAAGTGGCAAACAATTGTTGTGTAATGATCTGTGTTTCCGAAGAACGAGGCCACCATCTTTTTTTCCACGCTTCGACTTCTCTTCACTTTAGTTGGCAACTCCTCGGAAAGAAACTCTCAGAGTCTTAGGTTCAGGATCATAACAATAAATTCAGATTTCGTCACCCGTAAGTATGCCGAACACAGCATTTGAATCACCTCCGTTAAATCTTTGGACCATTTCACGACACCAATCAACACGACAGTTTTTGGGCCTCTGTCAAATTATGAGGTATCCACCGGGCACAAAGGTTCCTGACCGCTAAATGTTCATTGAGGATTTTCTGAACGTGACTCATACCGATGCCTAAGCTTGTCCGAATCTGCAGATAAGGCACTCTTTTGTCAGTCTCTATCATACACCGCACAACACTGATGTTATCTTCAGTCGTCGTTGTAGAAGGCCGTCCCTTACGCAGATCATTGGTGAGATTAGTGCGACCACGTTTAAACTCATTAAACCAGTTGTAAACAGTGGCTCGAGATGGGACTTCATCGTGAAAGGCCAATCGAAGAACTTTCTTGTTGACTTAAATAACATCGAAACTCATGAAAAATCATTGTACGAAAATATTCTCGCGTTGAATTCATGCTGACGTGACACAGACAATTTTCAATTTGCCGTCAAATCGTAAACAAATGACGAAGCGTTAAAAAGCGTCAACCTTACGTCTTCGCTACAACGATAGAATCTGCGAGCCAACATTTTGCCTCTAACCGAGAGAGCCCTACGTTCCCTTTCTATATCAGAGTCGTCTTTAAGGTTGTCAGTAATTATATGTCCTAGATATTTAAATTTTGATACACGTTGTATGTCCACGCCGTTCAAGGTAATGTTATTGACTTTATCGGGACATTTACCAGCGGCCTTAAACACCATGCATTCTGTCGTTAAGACCCCCAGCATGTTGGACAGAGCAGTACACTGTCATTAGCGTAATTTATATTGTTGGTGCTTACTCCGTCAATACGGCATCCAACACGCATACTGCTCAACCTGACAATGAGATCATTAATATATATGTTGAAGAGTGTATGGGACGTCAAGCCTCCCTGTCTTACCCCACTCTTCAACACATATTCTTCCGAGAGAGAGTCGGTCCATTTTACACAATTTGTCTGGTTGGCATACCAGAACTTAAATATATTTAGCAATTCAACCGGTAGTCCGTCCCCTGTCCTCCAACTTTGCACATAATATGTTATAAGGAACTAAGTCAAACGCCGTTGACAGGTCTAGGAAACAGCTATACACCTATGTCCCGCGATTAGTATACATTGGACAGTGTGCTTTAAACTTACAATTGCACTCTCAGTAGACAGCTCAGACCGAAGCCCAAACCGTGTGTCATGTAGCTTAGCTATTTTTTCAAGGTAAGAATTAAGCACACCGTCCAGCACCTTAGCAATCGTTGTTACCAATGAGATTGGACGATAATTTTTCATGTCCGAGACGTCACCAGTTCTATTCTTCACAATGGGCACCACGATTGTTTTTAACATTTCTTGCAGTAAATAGGAATGTCGGATACACTTTGTGAAAAACAGGGCCAAAACCCTCGGAAGGTGAACACCAGCATGCTTAAGATGCTCAACGCTAATACCATCATGTCCAGGAAGCCACCAGTCATATTTTTAAGTACATTTCGCACTTGTTCTGCTGCTTATAATAACCGCCCTTTTCTTTACTGTCATCAAGTATGACACTAATTTAAAGGTTACCAAAATAAAGGAAAAATGTTGGCAAATAACAAACAGTAGTAATAGACAGATGTTCCCGAGCTGTAGACAAACCTAAAGACAACTTTATCAAATAACCAGACTTGTGTCTATTCACCCCATTTCACGGTATATTGGATAAAATTTAAAAAAAAAGTTTTAAGAACTCATTTCAAGTAATATAACACAAATGCGATTTTTCACAAAGTTTTAGTCATAAAGTTATGCTAAGGTGTTCGGCTTGAACTTGGAACTATAAAACTGACTCGTGGTTAGCAGAGTACGCTTGCCGATACTTTTATGCAGTTTTAAGTAGTTTCAAAGTACATTACTTTCAAACTTTGGTATCGTTTTTTATTTAATAAGGATTCATTGTCGCTTCTCTTTAAACAGCTGTAACAATTAAAATATCTTATAGCTGTTCAAAGTTTTTGTTTTTTTTAATTTCACCGTCATAATATCTTTTATCTACCGACGCCATAAAGAGACGGTACTCAATTCGACTGTATGTTTTATTTCTTTTTTATATTTGTTATTTCATAACTTTGTACTGGGTGAACCCATTGCGATGATTCTTTTTTTATTTGAAAACTGGTGCTTCACATGTGGTCTCATATAAATTTGATCAATGTCTGACCAATAGTTTTTAAGTTATTCTTAATCATTCATGTTGAAGTCGCTTGTACAAATTTTTTAATTTTAAATTATTATATATTCCTTGAATGTATGCCACAGTTGTCATAGTTGCCACGCTTGTCAAGCAGGTTGGCAACCGCAGTATTTTATTTATAGACGTTATTAGAAAGACTGCTGCCCATTTCTTGATTTGTTTCCTTTTGTTTCCTCTTACGACACCCACGGGATGATATAGGGTAGTGAATATTCTTACACCGCCTCTACACGGTAACGGTACACGGTAACTAAAGAAAAAGAATGTTTTGTGACCAGGCTATACTGCAAATTGCAGGTGGTCGCTCGTACCAGAAGCTGGGCTTCTGCGACGTGAATCTGGCAGAGCTGGCGGGCGCGGGTGAGGCGACGCGGCACTGCCTCCTCGAGGGATACGATCCGCGGCGCCGCCAGGACAACTCCGTGCTCCGGCTACGTATTAAGATGAACATGATCTCCGGGGACCCGCTATTCAAAGTGTAAGTCTCTTATCTCATTAGAAAAAAAAAAACATTACCTCCACTCTAGGATTTTCTCCAGTACCGGTAGGGGCAGTTTACATACATAAATTTCACAAAGACAAATTTCCAGACCCGGAACAATTATTTGTAGGGCATATAAATACTTGTTCCGTGCAGCTTTCAAACCCCCGGCTCACAGAGCCGCAACTCATTGCCAAGCTACTAACGCTTGGAGCCGACAAAGCCGTAAGTTCGATTTTCCTAACGTACACCGTACAGACACTTAACGTTTTAGTCATTAAGCGGCTCGGATATTAATCGTTACCGTTACAGCTTAATAAATGTCCGGTGCTGAACATAGGCCTCCCCCATTGATTACCTCAGGAGATTTGACATAGTTGCCACGCTTGGCAGGTTGGTTGGCAACCGCAGTTTTTTAGATGTTATTATAAAGACGCTGCTGCCATCTCCTGGTTTGTCTATCTTTCACCTCCTTCGACGGTAGTGGATATTGTTACACTGCCACTAGACGGGGTTGGAAATAGTGGCGAAAAATGTATCCGAGGTTTTTTTTTTATAGAATTAAAGGTGACGAAAGAGTATACAATATAATAGAGTGTCTGGCTCTCGATACCCGCCACACGAACACAGCAACATTATGCTGCTATTTCACGCTTATATATACTTTTGTTATTTGCGCTTTAATCACTGTTCGGAAAATGAACACGACCACTCTATCTCTTAGCTATTTAGTATCCACATGCTCTATTAGATAATTAAAAACCTAAGCTGATTAGAATATTTTCATTTTAATAGTACTGAACAAAATTCAGCTAACAGCTAGTTTGTTATAAATACGTTCTCGGTGGTGATGAAAAACATTGTAAGAATTAGTTATATTTCCATTCAATAGGTTGCCTTATGGGGGATTTTGCCATAGTTGCCATGTTTGGTAATAGGGTTGGCAACCGCAGTTTTTATTATTTTGAGTTGTTATCAGGAAGAAGCTGCTGCCCATTTTCTGTTTAATTTTTCCTCTTCGCTCTTATATCAACCTCGGGACGATATGGGGCATATGGGATATTCTTACACCGTCTCTACACGGTTAAGAATTTATATTTAAGACCTAAAATAAATAAAAAATGTGTACGTGTAAAGTCTGCCATTACAGTCGACTCTTTCATGCTTCCTCATCCTGAACAAACATATTTTTAACATGAAAGTGATTTCATTTGCAGGCCGGAGCGCAAGCAAGAGGTGACGGAAGGCGGCGGCGATAGCGGCGCGGAGAGCGCGGCGCCACCCGATGACGACTGCGCCTCCTCCACCGCCAGCTCGGGCTTCGGCTCGCTCACCAACAACAAGGCGCACGGTGAGTACTCACACACGCACAGACACGCACACGAACACAAACATCAAGCACACACTAGGAGCGGGCGTTATGGCGCGTCTCCACCAACATTTGTCAGCACGTTTTGTCAACAAATGTTTCTGTCAACAAGCGTCTCCACCGAGGGAACAAATGTCGGCAACAAGCGTATTCCTTTGATGTTGCCGCCGAAAATCGAAACAAGTTTTGTTGGCAAATGTTGTGTTGACAGCAAAACTTTGATGGAGACGCGCCATTACAAATCGTATATACATAGGTACAATATCTATACACAATATCCAATATCCTATATAGCGACACAATATGTATCAGATACTGCTCCAGTACAGCGTCACTTCACACAACATCTGTACAATAACTATGATATGATGCACAGAATGTGAGATATTATATTTGAGTAAAATATTTAAAATACATGTACGACTCTTCGTTGTAAGGTATACTCGTTTCAGAGTATCATAGATATTAACACATCATTCGTAGATATTGCAATATAGGGTTATTTCTAAATATACGCCCAAATTTGCAAATGAAGGAATGGTGAAGAAAAATTAATAAAAAAATCTCAAACATTCTGTCCTGTTTATCTTTTAAATTCAAAATGCGTGGTAATCTACTATTTTACTACGGACGCACATATTCGTAAGGGTCGCTCGGTCGGCAAAACTGTTATGAATTTAATCGCATACCACATAGAGGAGCGCGCATACGCGTAGTTGTTGCACATAAATCACATTCAGTTTGGGATAATTTGAAATAAACGTAAAAGCCTTATTTACTCGTATTTTTAAAACTGCAACAACGGTATATCAATATTTATATATTTAAAATTAAATATAAAACTTGGCTACTCTTTGAGAGATAACCCTGTATGTCTATAAATCTAAGCAGACCAAATCCAAATCAAAAACTGAAGGTAAGCCGGGCTAACAATGACATCGGGACGCCAAACACCTCAGTACGCTCCGTGACCATAGGTGCTGTAAAGCAACCGAAACTACGGGGTTGAAAAAGTTAAAATTAAACACGATTAAAAACTGCAAAGTTTGTTACATTTCATGTGTAGTGTTCCCGTGAATGTAAGAAATCATTATGCAAACCAAATCCATCAAATCGGAGCACTATCGGAAATACCAGTGAAACGAGCACACAGTTCACCTAATTGTATGCTGTAGCCCACAGACATTTTCATTTCTGCTCGATTTTTTTATAGGATAAAGGTTGACAAACGAGCACACAGTCCACTTGATGGTAAGTGGTTGCTGCGGCCCATAGACATCTACATCTATCCTCGATGACAATCAAAATGCAGATGCATTGTCACCCGTGAGGACTAAGTTGTAATGCCTCATTTGCAGTAGAAAGGGTCTCCAGTTCTCTACACTCACCAAACGAAACACAACATCAGCATTAAGCTGCTATTTTACGCTGGCGTTCTGTGAGAGTCGGGCCCTACCACAGTCGAGTCGATCCATACGTGCTACAACCATAATATAGCTGCAGCGCGGCTCTATGACGTGAAATTTAGGGTAGTTGCACTAACATCTGTCGAAAATCATGTTATTTACTATGGCCAACCCTTACAACGTGTAAGTGACGAGTTGAGGTGAGAAATTATATTTTGCTGCTACCATACGCTCATATATCACATTATCAATATTGAAAATGACACTCATTTATGAACATCATGTTTAAATATACCGACCGAGAGAGCTCTTTCTGATCGTTTTGACTGACGATTTACCAGAAGTTTTCCTAACACAACTTCCTTGTGGAATTGGGTACTACCAGACCGATTTCCGGACCGATACGACTTAGGTATCTTCGAGAATAGAGCCTACTCTTTTTTAGAAGGCCGGCAAGGTACCAGTAATTCCCCTGGTGTTGCAGTTGTTCACTGACAATTGTAGTAACTTACTATCGGGTGAACCGCATGCCTATTTGCCCTCTCTTATATAAAAAAGGAAGTCGATGGATGCAGGTGGCTCAGGACCGTGCATTCCTTGGACTATGTTCAGCAGAGGAATTGTGAAGGGCTGACGATATAAAACATTATCAGTGTATAATAAATAAAGCATTTGTGTTTACAGTTTCAGAAAGCGTACCTCCGCCAACGATTACTTCGATAGCGCCCTGCGAGCCGCCGTCGCCGGATCAAGACGAGCCTCCTGTCCCTGATAGCACAGGTATACTCGTGACTACCTGCCATAGACTGCCTTGTTGGTCTAGTGATCGTAACGGTGACTGCTGACCATGAGCTTCACAGTTAGGTCAAATTCAGTTATTGGGTTTTTCTGTCAATAAACTCAGTAGAGCCCGGAGTCAGGAATGTGGCGGTGTTTAACCCGCGTATACGTAAGCAGTTGGTCCTGCATCTGATCACTCTTCGGTCGTATCGGTTTACCGTCCCAATGGACTATGAGAGTGAGGGAATAAAGAGTGCACATGTGTTCGCGCACATACTCGGGCACTATATTACTGTCCTGCGCAGTTGGCTAGTCACCGATGAGATTGGCCGCCGTGACCGAAACTCGGTCTGGAGGACATTGTTACACTCTTAAACAATATTCAACTTGACAATGAGAATAGTCACAGTATGCTGTTGTAAGACAGCCGCTGGATATTTTGTTAGTAATTTGAATGAAGTAAGTAATTCGTTCGATTAATATTTTTAAACTGAAGTGACTTAAGAACTTACAATCCGCCTGATGGAGTGGCAGAGAAAGAATACTACAGATGCGTTATCTGAGGTCTAATATGGATTACCTTCCAGTTTATTATTTAAAAATAAACCCTTTAGATCGTAACACAGTAGTGCAAGAACTGCTGTTTTTCCGGCAGTAATAAGTAAGAGAGTGGTACCTGGAAAAAGAGTACTTCCACCTAGTAGAAATACTTAGTTTTATTTAAAAATACTCAAAGAAATCCATTGTTCAGAATCATTTATACTTATGCAATAAACAAGATGTTTAGGTGTTTTATTTAAGTTTGTTGCCTAATGATTTATGTTAATTACTTCCAGTGATTGCAGCAGGTGTGACGTCGTGCGCGTCGTGTCAACAGCACACGCACTCGCGTAACTCCTCAAACACTTCGGGGGACATGAGTAGCAAGGTGATGCTGTTTCCTATGATTATGATGATAATATATTCCATAAATTTCTAAAGGAACAAAAAGGAACAGTGATATGGTCCCTCGAGCCGGACTTAAACCTTAATACTTAAACTGGGCTTTTTGTGAACAGCTTGAACTTAAATAAGAAATTACGTATAACATGTCAAAAACAACGTGAAATAATTTATAATATTCCACTTTCTTATGCCTTATAACAACTTTTTTAATTTAATTTTCGTTTCGCCTTTTTGATTTTTCTTAGGAATATCATAATTTCAATATCGCCTAAATGATGCATTTTTTACCTATTTATAGGGTGAATTTTTTTCTTTAAATTCATATGGAACTCTGAGATCTTAATTGTGAAGGAAGCTCATGTGAAAAGTTGTGGGCTGTTGAAGAGGAGATGCGAATGTGTATTTGATCTTGAAAAATGACTTTCAATAAGACGAATTACTTGCAATCTATATTGAATAAAAATGATTCTAATGTTTTCTATTCTATCGTTGTGCAGGCGTCAGGTTACGGCAGCTCAGTTTCGGCCGCGTCGGCGCACTCGCGACAGAGCTCCGAGGGCGAGTCCGCCGCGGACGCGCGCCCCCACCACAACAGGTACGACCCCCTCCTCCCTTTCTGGAACAAACGAGAAAAGAGCCCAAGCAAGTACCGCGTGCATCTCCCGACACGAATCACTTGAGGGTCAGTGGGTTGCCACTCTTTTTTCTCTTCACCAGCCCCATTTAAATTCACTGCTGATGATACATTTTATAAATTAAGCAAGTAAAGATATGAGGTTTGAAAATCTTGCTATGGACAATACTATATACTATATTGCGCATGAGAAATGGTTTTGGGCAAACACTTGGAATTTTACTGTCCTACAGATGAATTTGTTTTAATCAGCTTTTATTACCTAAAGATCTCTGAAAATTTATAGACAACCTATATACGTCCCACTGCTGAGCACAGGCCTACTCTCTGAGTAAGACTATTACAACATAAATTTTGGTCTGTGTCTTGTATTCGAATCCAGGATCCATAAGTAAATATCATTGAAGTATTTTATATACATATCAATTTCTATTATTATATTTATTTTTGATTTTTTGTGCACTTTGTATGGTTTTCTTGTATTTTAATTGTATTCTTTTTATTTTGTTAATTTAATTGGAATTTATTTTTAATAATTTTATTGATTTGTTTCTTTAAGTTTGGTTGATGAATTGCATTGGTTTTGTTACTATCGGGTGTGAACGGAGTGGGGGAAGTGCGTATAGAAAGGTGCTTGGTGGACATTTTCGGTCGTCGACGCAACCTTCAACCTGTACAAAGATCCAGAGTCCCGCTTATTTTTTAACAAACTTTGTTCCGCACGTTACTAACGTACGACTGGACGATGTATTTATTTCGCTTTATTAATTTACTTTTGTTTATCCTCCCCACCTCTCACCCGTTCCCCTTTGCACTGGTCCTTAGCGTGCGCTGCGAGCGTTCAACCACCACCACCACCACCACACTGTACGTCCCCACCCAAAGCTGCAAGCACACGGGCCGAGCGCTCAGCAAGTTGCTGATGGAGAAGACGGTGGTGAGCGAGACTTCGGACGTGTTCCTCACCCCCAACACCACCCTTACGGGCCCCCCCGATGTCATCCCACGGAATGAGATCCAGTCCCCGGCCAGCGAGGAGTACCGCACCCCGGAAACGACAATCCTCGAAAACACGTTCACCATGCCGACCTACTTCGACCAGAAGAAGAGAGCCGCTGCCATCGTTAGTGCAGCTGTCCAGCCTCTCACGAATTTCCAAGTCTTTAAACAGAAATCCCTGAACACAATCCCCGCGTTGCTCGAGAAGAACAAGAAGAACGAGGAGTTATTCACCAACTTCCCGTTCCTGACGCCCCTCGCACATAGGAAGAATTCGCTGATTTCTAACGCGAATAGGCTATCAGGGTGTATAGAAGACGAGTTCTACTGCATTCCGTCGGACCCGGAAGCGGACACGGAAGTAGTCGAGAGGATAGACGTACGCCATCGTTTCCGCAGCATCTCCAATCAGGCGCTAACCGACGAAGTGCACACTTCCACGCCAAAGAACGAGAGTAACACAGAGTGTATGCAAAGAGGTAACTTCAAGTCGGAGCGGGGCCGTAAGGTGGAACTGTTGCGGCACAGCTACACGGACTATACGAGGTGAGTGCCGCCCGTGTGCCGCTTGCTTCCTCTAACTCCCCCGCCCTCCACCCTCAACGCCTTCATCCCTCACTTTACACCCTTCCTACCTCGCCAGAGTAATGTCCGCCGCGTACTAATACTGGGGTATGGGTTAATACTACATGGTGACTTCTAAGTCTTCTGTTTCTTTTTGGTTTTTCTGTTTCTTTTGTGTTGGTTTATGTTTTTCTTTATCAATATTATTAAGTTATATGTAAGTATTTAATGGTGTTGGTGGGTGGAATTGGTGTTAAGTGAATGCATAACTATGTATTCTGTATAATGTTTTTTTTACATATAAAAAAATAATAATTTCAAAGGTTATTTATTTTGTTTTTATGTTCTAAGTAATTTCCAGTATTATGTTAACGACCAAACTTTGTTTCACATTAAAAATATATATAAAATACTTCATGTACCGTATAAAGAACAAATAGGTATATTTTATTTGAAAAATATATAACTTAAATACGTAAATGTCTACAGAAGTTCTTGACTCGTGTGTAAATCATAAATATAAAGCGAGTAAATGCCTCTTGCGTTAGCGAGTATGTATGTGAGACTATATTCTGGACAACTCAGTAGAGCCATAGCTCTAGCGTTTTATTAAGGTTTCGATCTTACATGGAACGATTATTTTATGGCCTACAATACAAATTACTTGGCAGGTTATATAAAACAATCTTAAGTTCTTCAACTTCTTTGCATACTTACATTAGGTTGAGGTAAATTTTAATTAAAAGATGGAAAAATTTAACTTGCAACGAATAGTATATAATATTCGGTCACACGCCAGGCTTAATTTAGGCAAAAGTGTTCGGCTGGTAAAGAAGTGGTATTTTTTCGAAGCGTATTTGATTGTCTACGAGAAAAAAAGGAGTAAACTACTGCCTGAAAATTTAGAAAAATTTGTCTCTTGCACCATAATCTTCCACTTCTTTATTTTAATCATGATAATTTTAGTGACATTTTTTTACATTTTATTGATAGTTTCTTGTTAATTTTTATAATACGGAAGTTGATTATGTACGTACGACTATTTTAATGATTACAAGAACAACATTATTATAAAATAACTGAATATTTTCATTTTACCAATTATATAACTACAACTACTAACTCTACTACATAAGTGTTCATTATTCGACCGAGCCGAATAGTATCCAGATATTCGATAGCCGAGTAGGCCGAATACCGAACAGTAGCCGATTATTTGATGAGAGTGTAAAAAAAATCCATTGCACTGGATAACTTCTGTGAGTAATAAGTTCGAACGGACGTTTGTCTCCCTGGTTGAAATGTGGCGACCGAAACTCGGTCTGTAGGAATGATTACTAGAGTGTAGACGAGTGTCCCACGTGCACTGTGTGTGTGTGTGTGTGTAGGCGCGAGGCGGGCGAGTGTGCGGCGTGCGGCTCGCGCCGCGACGGCTCGCTGCCGCGCCGCGCCGCCTCCGCGCGGTCAGTGCCACTGCCACGCGCTGCCACTGCCACTGCCACTACCACTGCCACCATACAAACTCTGCACACGAACACATCCTACACTTACAACATGTCTATATGCTCATGTTCATATACACGCAAACACTTCTATGTATACTACAATACGATCTTTGTATATTACTGAACGGATGATTCATAACAAGAATTTTGTCATAGCTGTAGGCGCCGGTTTGGCGACTTTTCACTTAAAACACTTACTGTGTTTAGGCAAATACGAAATAAAATTTCGCACACTGAAATAAACTTCAAATCACTTTGACAAAGTGCGCACATAAATAATGACGGCGTTTTCTTAGTCACATCAAACAAAATCAATGTTAGATTGTCGAAAACAACGTTTGCAAAACAAAGAACTAGTCTTGTTATTCTAGCCCGCTCGCAGTCGACTAAAGAAGTTACGAAGAATTTAGCGTATCTTAGTGCACAATATATTAGCACCGTAGAACCCAACCAGTAGTATTCATAGATAACATAGAACTCTTCGTAAACACTTGCCCCAGACTCGCACCCATTCACCCCTAAATTTCAATTGACTCGTATTAATATTAGAAAATCCTCTTCACCCATATTTAAAGTAACATATAACTATACTAGGAGAAGTAGGATGCTATGTGGTGAGCGCGTGAGGGAATTCATCAAGCCGTTTCGTGGCGCGGGTGTCGTAAGAGGGGTTGGGATACGTCAAAACGATATATCCCATAGTCGTATGGCTTTCAATATATGGCAATATAACTGTTTCATTTACGCCAAGCATAAAATAGCCAGACCGGCGACGGGAAACAACGTCAAAGGTGAGAAACATCTGGTACTGCGATAGTCGTCCGCCTACCAAACGTGACGATTAGGGTAAAGCCTATGTACAAAGTCAGGCGCGTGGACATCCGTGCGTTATTAGCGGCCGATGAAGAAGTGACCGTACATCGAATGAATCGCAATTTACCAGGTATATTCGAACGGAACGGTTTGCTTTATCGTTTGTCATGCGTACAGTAAAGAAGTGGAATAAGTTGACAGCATGTCTTTCCATCCGATTATATTGTGGTCGTCTTCAAGGCAAGAGTGAATACGTTTTTGTTATGCTAAGTCAGTACGCCTTACCATCTTTGGCTGCATCACCACTTGCCATCAGGTGGGATAGTAGAAAAGTGCTGGCTTTGAATAGTAAAAAAAAATGTGTATCTTATCATAGGATCACTAACAATTACGATCACATACATAACACTCAATCACTTGCACAATGGTATTTACGTGTATTCCATATTTACACTCGCTCTCGAATTCACATCTCTCACATTGATATAGTGTTATGCCCCTATGTCACAATCACATTGATATGCCTTGCAGTCACCAAGTATCCTAAAAAGCACCATTATATACACAATTTTTTACAAATAAATTTTCAATTGCTACAAATAGATAAATAATAGAACGTGACTACAAAAATAGAGACCCCCCACAATGAGAGCGAGGAGAGGATCCGCGACTTTCTGCTATCAGGGTGGTACCGCTTGGAAATGAATGATGAATTGGTTTAATATTTGACAGAATTCATGACGGGGAAGTTAATTTGTTATGAAAATATAAGAAGGGTTAATGTTTCTTTCTGTAATATTATTTGTATCTTAAAATAAATAAACCAAATTACGAATATTCCTAAAAGTAGAAAAATAAAAAAGACACTCAAAAAAATGTGCAATAAGTTAAAGGGAAAATCAGACATTGTTTTGTACTCTAGAAACTGATAAACTTATAGTTATCCGCAACTTTTTAATTATAATGACATTGTGCAACAAAAAACTTCACCTCAGTCCCAACTAGAGACTTCTGGTGAGTGGTAGATTATTAGCCCTTATTAAACTATTCAATCCACCTCAGTTTATATCACCTGTGGAATACACATATCCTCAAACTTCAAAACTTAAATTATGTTCACAGTTCACACTAATCTTGTGACAGATACACATATATCGTCAAACTTCAAAACTTAAATTATGTTCACAGTTCACACTAATCTTGTGACAGATACACATATCCTCAAACTTCAAAACTTAAATTATGTTCACAGTTCACACTAATCTTGTGACAGATACACATATCCTCAAACTTCAAAACTTAAATTATGTTCACAGTTCACACTAATCTTGTGACAGATACACATATCCTCAAACTTCAAAACTTAAATTTTGTTCACAGTTCACACTAATCTTGTGACAGATACACATATATCGTCAAACTTCAAAACTTAAATTATGTTCACAGTTCACACTAATCTTGTGACGGATACACGTATCCTCAAACTTCAAAACTTAAATTATGTTCACAGTTCACACTAATCTTGTGACAGATACACATATCCTCAAACTTCAAAACTTAAATTTTGTTCACAGTTCACACTAATCTTGTGACAGATACACATATATCGTCAAACTTCAAAACTTAAATTATGTTCACAGTTCACACTAATCTTGTGACAGATACACATATCCTCAAACTTCAAAACTTAAATTATGTTCACAGTTCACACTAATCTTGTGACAGATACACATATCCTCAAACTTCAAAACTTAAATTTTGTTCACAGTTCACACTAATCTTGTGACAGATACACTGTTACGGCCTACGGCTGCTCCCTTAAAGGATCCAATTTTCAGGGGCCCATGAGCTGAAGATTTCCCGAACAGACGTAGGTCGGGCCCCAATGTGGCCACGTGGAAATTCTCAATTACATTAAAATATATGGGGGAGCGTTATACTACGGCCAGTCGACCGGAAGGAATTTGGATGAAGCTTACTTACCTATCCAAGGCGACTGGTCACTCCGGAGTCGGTCAGGTCGCATGTGGTTGTGTAGTGCAAGGGAAGGAATGGTGATGTGGTGTGTATCTGGGTGTGACTGATGGTGATTGAACCCAGACCTTGGCCGTCGGCAGCAGCCCGAGCGTCGAAACCGCTCCAACTTGAGGGCGCCTTTCGAGGTAGTCCACAGTCACTTTCTTCTTTCGTCACGTTGCCAGTCAATTAACTCTATCGTACGATTTACCAACTTACAGAAGCCACTAACTATCGCTGGGTATAATGGTTACCGCACAAACGCACACGGAGTTTGAAGGGTCAAAGGTCACTACCGTTTCGCGTAGCAATAGTTAATTCTAGAATATCAGAGGCAGCACTATCTAATATTGCCGAATGCACTTATGCAGGTTTTGAGTCAGACACAATAAGTCCCGGGAAGCTCTCCAGTAGGAATGCGCGTCACAAATCCTAGACCGTATATTTACGGGCCGCACCTAATTATTCCGAGTTCCCTAACAGAATGGACCGCGTGCTCACGTCAGCACCGATTAAAGACGACCGACGCGCTTGCGACCCGCGCGCCACTTGCCACGCTCGGCCTAATTTCAAACCGGTATGAATGCACCGCGCCGAGCGCCCTCTCGCGTCAATCCTTGAAAGTGTTTTGCGCGAACATACACATAT